ACATGAGGACGTGAAGGAGCGGATTTACAAACTGGCCAAGAAGAGCCTGACTCCCTCACAAATCAGTGTGATCCTGAGAGATTCTCACGGTGTTGCCCAAGTACGTTTTGTGATGGGTAATAAAATCTCGAGAATCCTTAAGTCTAAAGGACTTGCTCCTGATTTCCCTGAGGATGTCTACCACTTAATTAAGAAAGCAGTTGCAGTTCAAAAGCCTCTTGAGAGGAACAGAAAAGACAAGGCTGCCAAGCTCCGCCTGATCCTCACTGAGAGCCGGATTCACTGATTGGCTCAATACCATAAGACCAAGTGGGTCCTCCTCCTCAACTGGAAATGTGAGTCATCCGCAGCCTCTGCCCTGGTGGCATAAATTTATGTACTCGAGCAATAAAATCATGATTTAACTAAAAAAAGAAAAAAAAAAAAAAAAGGAAATAACCCTTCTCCCCTACTCCGTGCTTTGCACAACAAAACTACTTGCACAAGCTAAATGAGGTACATTTAACTTGTAATTCCCATTGCCCAAGCTGCCCTGTGTGAGGCACTTTACATGTAAAGCATCCACAAATGGTGCCAAAACTGAGGCCACACAGAGGAGAAAAGGCAGGATAGAAACTCCAACTGGGGCTCTGGCGTCAGAGCCCACGCTCTTCCCTCAGCGCTACGGTTTACTCATTAAAGATTCACTGAAATATACAACTACATGATAGCTGTATCATGATGCTGAGACTACATTCAATTTGGTAGCACTGAATCATGATTACAAATTGCAATTACAAGTATTAGGGAGTTTTTGTTGTTGTTTTGTTTTACTTGCATGAATAAAATTGCTTTTGGTCTTAATTCAGATAATTAGTTCACGTTACTTGACTCATTGAAATATACCTAAAAATGTGAGATGGGTCTTTTGAAATAGTCAATGATGTGCTCAAATTAAACAAAATTTTGTTCAAAAAAATGCTCCCCATTTGATAGATGGCCCACAGAACTTACAAGTCCTTTTCATACATGAACAAAATAGCAATGCTGCTTTGCAAGGTGGCTTGCCCCTCGGGCACATCCAGGTGGCACCTTATAGCTCCAACTCAACAACATTTCTAAGTGTTTAGCTCAGATCAGAATTTAATTCTTCTGCCTCAATAGCAATAAACTACTGCTCAAAACTTAGCTGTAACGAATGTAACGACTATCCAAGAGTTTTGTGCTAGGTATTCAATGAGTGATGACAGAGAATGATAAAGGTACTCTATTTAGAACTAAAACAAATTGTAGTTGGCAGTCAGGCAATTGAGGTCCTGAGTTGCAAAGTTCTTTCTTCTTGCCCTAAACTCACTCCAGTGGGTAGTCATACAGTGTCCTTGCTCAGCACAGGAACTGTGGCAAACTGAAGTGAATGATCTATGCTGCATATTCCTGCAAGTTGCAGGCTAAATAAGTAAAAGGACCCTACAACAACTCTGCTGTTTGCTCCCAACTGCTCACCTTGCTGACTCCATGAACCCTGGCTCTCACTCTTTGGTTCCTAGAGTTGCGAGAAAGATGGAGTCTACCAGTCCTGTAATGCAACATTAGATGGGAGCTTGGTGTAGGGTAGAGACAAGAAAGTGAACCACAAGGCACAGCGATCAGTTACCTTTTTCTGGCCTGGGCGCATGGGCATGCGGTCTGCTGGTGCCAGCACAGGGACAATAACGGGGAACACTGAGCTGAGAGCAACAGGAGACTTTGGTTCTCAGCACGATCCCACATAACTCACAGCACCCCATGACTGTAGAAGTGATGCTGCCCTTCCCAGAACTGTGCCCAAGTCTTTGACAGGATCAAGGGCACTCTGTGACCTCTGAGTTTTAAACGGTGAGAAGCACCAAACAAAAGATGCTTTTATTTCCCTGTGTCCCCTGGTGAATTCCTGGTCTCTGGTGGTACAAGATGCTTTCAACACTGTCTTTGGCCTCTCAGTCTGCAGTGATATTTTGAAACTTAATGGTGCAACTCAGATATCACAACAGACTGTTGTTTATAATCTGTATATACAAATCTTTCCACAAACAGGGTGTGGAAGGAGCTAGAATTGATCAATATAGCTGTTTCTGGAGACTGACTCGACATACCAATGTGCCTTGTATAACTCGAACAATAGGACATAGGCTTCACCCTGTGACTATCTAAGAATTCTTTTTATTAGAATTAGTAAAATGTCTTTAACCATCAATAGAACCAAATCTTTAACGCATATACTTTCTGATTTAGATAAAGTTTATAACATTGCTATTTTTAAAAACAATTTGTAAACCAATGTATATGTGCCTTAGGCAATGGGCTAAAATGTTTTGGCTTTATCTTGATGGTTAATCCAACAAAGTCTTACGGGGTCTTTTTTATTTCAAGGAGTTCAGTAATATATTAGATTGTAGCAGTTAAATCAAACCAACAGTTTCACAATATTTGAATTACCTGTGTTCTTTATACTGCTAGCAAATTTGTGCACAGCCATGTAAAATTTGAGGCCATAAAGTTGTTCAATTAAAAAATCATTGAGAATAAAACAAAAAAAATTATTTTAAAACATTTCCCTATTTCTGAACATCTATAATCGATACTGATCAGTCATTATCAACTGCTCAATTTGATTGACATCATAATGACAGCTAAACTAAGATAACGGAGAAGCATAATATTTCTAACTTTTATGGGTACATAAGGCTCTTCTACAACACACATATAGGAATAAGCTAATCATATTACTTGCTTGGATTGATATTATGGTCCCACAAGCCTTCATGCAGCCCAAAAGCTGACAGCATCACTAAGCAACTGAGCCTGACATATTTCTAGTAATATTCCTTCTAAAATATTTTATGCTAATGAAAGACAGTATTCCAGAAACATGCAGAAAGTTGAATTCACTCCTAACAGTAAATGTAGTCACATTGATTCACTCAACTGTGAGAAAAATACCAAGAATACACTGAAAACTGTTCATCCTTGAGACAAGTTTCAAGCTCTTGTCATTCACTGCTAATAAATGCAAATCAAGGTGCGCCTTGATAGTACTGCAGTGAGTTATAAAGACCATTCACATGTCCACGATTGAGCTTGTTAGTCTTTACCTTCCGGAGCTTGAGCAAGGTTAGGCCAGCACAGCAGCGAAAGTGCCACAGTGATGGCTACAGGCACTTGGTCTCCCAGCCGTAGGTTTCAGAAAAGTATCTCTTTACCATAACAAAGCCAATGGCGTTTTGTGTATGTTTTGTTGGTTTTTTGGTGCTGAGGATCAAATCCAGGAGCCCGCGTGTATTCAGCAAGTATTCTGTTCCTGAGCTCTATACATCCCAGCCTAAAACCAACAAGGTGTCAACAAAAGAACTGCATCACAGCAGAAAAGTGTTTTCTTAATGTGACATCAATGAAACATACCCAGCACTGCTAGCTACATACAAGAGAAATTATTTTTAAGTAAACAAAACTAAGATGTAACAAAACTTAAAAATGAAGGATGTTAACTCCCAGTTCTTCTCTCTGTGCTACTCATAGTTGACCACATGTACCGTATTATATATACACAAAATTGAATATACGCATATAATTCCATCAACTTTCAAATAGTACCAAATGTAAAAAATTATTTTCCATTTTACAGGAAAAGCCAAACTGCTTTAGAGATGAGACAGAGAATAAGAACAACTTTTAAAAAAATTGGCTTGCCTTTTAAATTGTACTGCACAAACATGAGTAGAAATAGAAAAATTCTAACTTTAGAAACTGAAGCATATAAATATTTCCACCAGGCAAACTGTCAAGACAAACTGGATAGAAACAGTGAAATCAGGCCTGTTCTTTCTTGACTACACAACTGGGAGCAGCAAATCTTGATACAAGAGTCCTCGTTGGATTAAGCATGCACACACACGCATGCACACACGCACACACATGTGCACACGTGCACACACACACAATTTTCAGCTAAAGGCAGCTCTTTTGCCTTCCCAAATTGTCTTGTTAGCTAATTACTAAACACTTTTGTGTTCAATTTTATTAAGGTTAGAAACAAAATCATTAGCTATATTCTTCACTCTTATTCTAAGTCATTGTTTCAAAAATTTATCTTTGTTCAGTGCACACATGGTGAATAAAAATCTGAAACCACATCCAAAGTCTAACAAAGAAAAATAGCCGATATCCAGATCATTTATATAAACCTCAGAAAGATAATCCTAGTGATTATATAAGCAGAATAAATACAATTTTTAAAATTTAGTCAAGTTAATTTTTCTGTTCATCATTGTGCTTTTACTAATATATTGAAAACAAATCTATTGACAGAAGTGTTCTAATCATTTTTAGTAACTCCAAATCACACTCTTTCAGGTAGCTAGTAAATGTGGAAAGGAGATGGCAGATCGCCTAGAGCTGCAACGCAAACTCCACTGTCACCTGTTTCAGAGCAGAACAGTGTTTGTCACTCCAAATACAACACAGCTACAGCACACACTATTCCTGCCAACTTTGCACAATAGAAAGGCAAAAATGCTGCTTCTCTTCTTTTGCATATCTTAGGGGAAAATAGACAGGGATGAAGTAACCATATTAAGGTCAGATAAATGATATAGACAGTTACATACTCAATATGTAAAGTATCCAAGTTTAAAAAGTTGACACTTCCCTGTCAAGAAATTCTTTAGGGATTCGTTATCCTTTTGTGAAATGTTAAAAAATGAATTCCTTCATATTTATGCAAATACCTTTATAGTTCATGGAAGAAACAATTTATTAAAGTAGAGATATTCATTAGTATATATGGACATGTTAAGTATTTTACTCTCTTGCCTCAATATCTAATTATTGAGTAATCATCATAGATCATTAAACTTTGAAAGGAAACAATATATATTAAATATTTACTCTGATAAGAACTTCAAGATAAGCAACTTAAGGTTTGACAATGTAAAATGTCTAATATTTCTTCAGTAGCTCATGCATATCTTTTGTTATTATCTTACCACAATGATTTTATCATGAATCTCCAGTCCATCAACCTTGTCAGCCGGTCCATTTTCTAAAATTTTTGAAACATAAATCCCTTCCGTTGATGATTCTTCTGGAATTTTCTATAAAGAAACGTAATCATTAGCAGAAAGAAATGCATGAGCAAACTTTTCCTCAAGGACAGTTTTCTAAATATAAGCTTCTCAACCATCCTTCAACCAGCGGTACTCCACTGGGAATTGGGCACAGAATTTTAACTTATTTCACCCATTCATCAAGATGGCATTTGTGGGGAACACGGCCGGCCTCTCTGACAAGATTATCCGCCTGCTTCTCATGTTGAGTACACACAACAAGCTGCAGGGACAGGCCCCTGCGCAGGTGAAAACAACTAGCTCCTGCGATTTTAAAACATTTCCTTTCCACGGGGCGGTATAAATAAAGAGGATGACAAATATATAGAAGACAGACAGAATATCCAGCCTCTATTAAATAATAGGCACGCTCATAATTTTTAAAATAGAATTTATCTTCACAATTAATTTGACAAACTGGGAAACAGCACTGAATAGATCTATTCTCTGAGGATACGGCTCAATTTTGAAATCCCAAAGATCAACCCAAAACTGCAAGGAAACCAGTCAGAGCTAATCTTCACACATTTCCAATGTGTTTAATGACTAAACCACAAGCATGGCCTTCCCTCAAGGCACAAAGAGGACACGTTAGCCAACACAATAAACCAATTTAATTATCAAATGTATTTAGGGAAAATAGTCATCCCATAATATTTTATTACTGTTATTCTACTTTATGTAGGTTAAATAAAATTATTCCTCCTTACTTATCTGTCTAGCATTTATAAAAATGTGCTTTGGGGAAAACAGAACAATACCAATTTGGTGAAAAGATTCCTATCTTCCCGCAATAGTAAGTGGCGACTCCCGGCAGCAGAAGCATGGCAGTCGTTAGGTGCTAGGCTTCCTGTGTCCACACTACACACGAGGAGGGCCCGGGTTGCTGCACCCCGCCCTAAGCATAGCATAAGGCCAGCAATGTGTTTCCCCGGACCGCACAGGCAGTACGAGGTACAAAGGCTCCACGGCCGTGCACTGGGAAAAGGTTGAACCATCACTTCTTACAAACTTCACTTTTTTTTCCATTTGGGGTAAAAACTAAGTAGAGGGACAATTTGGAGGATATGAAAGAACTTTGTAATTACAGCATATGATACACGCTTATCATACACATTTTGAAAATAATTGGCATCAATACAGGGATCATTATTCATTCAATTATGAAGGAGTTAGTTTGGGAAGTCAAAAATACTTCAAATCAATTTTCTTTAACATGGGATTTTTATGTAATTATGAAACCAATCATGCTTTAGATCAACTATTCATTCATCTAATACACATTATTAACTTCCCAATCTGTGCTCATGTCTAAGGACTGAGCAATCTGACTTAACCAACAGGAAGTTCAGCCAGGCAAAATAATTGCCTAATATTAGAAAACAGAAGTTGCTGATAGACATTACTGTGAAATGTGTTTGAGAAATTTGCCAAAGGTGTGATAAAATGCAGATACAATATAAAATACATGGGTCCCTTTTTTTTTCAGAATGCAGTTCAGGTAGCTGTCTTTATTGCCCTCAAGAAGGGAATCTAAATGGAAAATTGAGATTAAGGAATTCGGTATTTGATCATATGCATCATTTCAAAATTGACCCACTTGTTTTTCTGGCTAAAGATCTACCAATGAAAGGAGAGCCTTTTATAATTTTATAAGCTGAGAGTACACAAAACAGTAAAAAGCAGGCTACCTGATTTGGTCTTCCTCCTATAATATTGAATCCCAAGGTGTCATTTTTTCTTTCTAACATAACAGTGAATAGCTTCTGTCCTCCATCCTGGAAGAAAAGTGACAAAATGAATATTTATTTTAGAGGCTATAAAAGAAAAGAAATACCACTACAAGGTTTTGTTTTTTTTTTTTTTTTTGTCACATAAACTACTTGACATTATTGTAAAGTATTTGAAAAGCAAGAACAGCTTAAAATTAATGATGGGTATTTTGGTAGGAGGTTCCTTTTTTTGTGAACATACTCTGAAAGTATGTATTTAAAAAGAACTTACATGTCAAAGGGAAAAATACCATTTTCAAAAATAGTTTTGGAATTTACACCTATAACATCTAATTTGGGCATCTAATTTAAAACAGATGGGTTTTCTGTTTAACCTTTTGGGAATCTTTACTTTTATTGTATGTTCCAGGAAAGTGAAATTGTCCACGAGTCTTAGAAATGTCGTGTGTAAGGGCCAGGGAGACCTGGCATGGGGACTCAGCCTGTAAGCTTAGCGCTGGGGAGGCTGAAAACAGGAGGAACGCTCCAAGTCCATCCTGCGGAGTGAGACCCTGTACCAAATACATTTTAAAAAAAGAAAATGTTTTGTCTAATATTTTCAGTTCAACAGGCTTAGAGAATTTAAAATATACTAAGTTAGTCACAAATTTCTTTTGACACTGGCAGTTGTGTTTCTGGCATAATGCAGGGCCAGTTAGGCTCCATGAATTGATTCTAGTTTTAAGTAACATCCCCATTAAGCTTTTCATGTCTTGAATTTAAAAAAAAATTCTTGCTAGGTGTAGTATGTAGTACTGGTACTGTATTTTTTTCCTTATGGTTCAATAATAGTTCAGCAAATAGACGTATTTACCACCTGTTTACTTATTTGTAAATACCAACTTAAATATAAGGTAATACTATACTGGATGAGTTATGGTCATGGTCATCGGTAACTAATTTTAAGGAAGCAGACATCATTTGGTAGTTCCTTCTGAAAGAATTCTGTAGGCCCACAACCACGACCCCACCCCGGCCCACGCCCTGCAGCAGCCACACAGCGCACACAGCGGCCCCTAGTGGTGGTGAGAGAACATTTTCGCGGCGCGCCCAGCAGCTCTTGGATCCTTAATCCTCAGGTTTGGGGCAGTTCCTCACTTCCCAGGAGCAGAGTTTAACTGGTCCCCTGGCCCTCCCCAGTGCATACTCCTAGTTGCTGCTCCTTTTCATCAAGCACTGCTTCTCCTAAGACTCTGAGGCCCGGACTGGTCCCGCAGAACGTCTTCTGGGGCTTTTCTCCAGGTCCTCCGTGGGTAAAATTTCTTGTCTATGGAGCGGCCAGAGAAAGACTCCTGGGATCGCCAGTTAGTGCTCCGTGGGTTCTTTCCTTTACGAGGGCAGAAACACGGTAGCCCGTCCCCTTTCTATTTTTTGAGCTGCTGGGGCATCTAAACACAGCCGAGAGCTGGAGGCAGCGCTAAGCATTGTCCTAAACGGGAAGGGCTTGGCGTTGCCCTTCCCCGGGAAGGCTGCAGGACAGAAACAGCTCCTTGAAAGGAGCGCAAGTTGTGCCGAAGCCTCGCTCACCACTGCAGCGGCCCGCGCGTCGACACCGCCCAGAGTCGTGCGGAGC